TTTTAGCATTTTTCTGTTCCCTAAAATGGTCTGAGGCTTTGCGCCTAAATCCCAAAGCCAAGCTACCAAAAGTATGCCGTTTTCTAGGGCAAGCATCTTCAAACATAGATTGTACACAATCTAGGAAAAGATCACAGTATTAACTGCATGGACAAAGATGCTTACAGACATAGGGCTCTTCATGACTCTTTGTGCTACCAGTCAAGAGGCACAGGGCAACTGTTCCATCTTTTCCTCCTTGGTGGGGTCTTTATGGAAAGAAAAGGGTGATGAGGAAAAGTGAAATGGACGCATGTAAGGGTTACAAAGGGAAGACAACGCCGGCTGTCTCACAATTCTTTCAACAAGGGCTGACCAATCCTCACCACTCAATTTAATTTCATGTAAGTACATGAAGGAGATTTTTAAACATTCCCACCCCACACTTCCACCCTCCAAAAGGGAAAAAATCCACACCCACACCATAACTCCAAGAAAAAAAAAAGTACATTGGCGCCAATGTTTTTGTAAAAGGAAAAAGGAGCTCTTCTGTCCATGCATGTTGGTTCCAAACTGGATGAGGCACTAACATGAACACAAAACCACTAACACAATGGTGAGGAACTGTTGCACACTACAATTTCATGTAGCACATAATTTAGCATGATGGAGGGTGACTGCAGAATGAAGGCCCATCGAGAGAAGTCCCAAGTTTGCCTATAACTAAAACCAGATGAGATCTGAAAATAGTGGTTGGCCAAATGATCAGAAAGCACCCTAGCACTAACCTCCTCCCTTGCCCTTCACTGCCAGAACAGAAAGAACTACTTCAGCTGTTCTTCCACCTTTTGAAAAAGAGAGCCAGGGAGGGCTTAAAGGGAACATTACAGCAGGCAGGGTGGAGTGTCCAGCCTCCTTCCGAAAAGGACACTCCTCCCACCCACTGAAAATGGTCATGTTATGCTTCCACACAAACCTATGTAGGCCTAGCAAAAACATTATTTGAGTGCAGATTCTCATGCAGCCAAAATGTGCGTTTCATGCACAGGAGGGAAAGATCAGCAGGTTCAGGGGACCCCTTGGGTTTGGAGAAATAAAATGACCATGAGAGCATTCTAAAATGTGGGGGATCCCCCATATAACTGAAATAAGGACTATGCATGCACAGGAACCATGGAAAGCCAGTTGTTTGGGGCTATGGCTAGGAAGAGGGGGAAAGTGAAGAGAATGGAATGGATATCCTGAAAAATAATATGGCCTGGTTACTGGACCCAGAATGAGACTGCTCTTCTCTGCAACCGTTTGTTGCAGGTCCTGCTTGTAATAGGCTTGTTCAGAAATCTTTGGTGAAGAACTTTAATCAAGGCCTTTGGAAGTCCAAGTGTATTATATCCACTAGTTTAGTGACACTTTTAAAGAACTCTGAAAGGTTAGCAGATATTACTTAACTTTCCAGAAGCTATATTGAATATTCTAAGCATTCTAATATTCCCCTTATATCTGCCTACTAATGTTATCTTTAATAATGCTTTCCAGCAATTTACCCCGAACAGATGTTAAGCTAACAGACATGTAATTTCCCAGATCTCCCCTGGATCCTTTTGTCAAAATTGGCATTACGTTAGCCATCCTGTAGACCTCTGCTATAAAGGCTGATCTTAGGGACACCTTACATATTTTATTAGAAAAGCTGTAATTTCATATCTGAGTTCTTTAAGAACACTAGGATAGAGACCATCTGGGCCTGGATTTATTAACTTTTGGTTTCTCAATAGCTTTGAAAATGTCATCTTTTGTCATCACTATTTGCCTCAGTTCCTCAGACTCCCTTTCTGAAAATATCAGTTCAGGCTCAGTTATCTGTGGTACATCTTCTGCTGTGAAGAAAGATGAATATAATTCATGAATATAATGAATATAGCTTCTCTGCAATCTCTTTTCCTCCTTCAGTGTTCCTTTAACAGGGTTGTCAGCCAATAGTCCAAATGCCCCCCTAGCAGTTTTCCTGCTGACATATTTCAGGAATGTTTCATTCTTGGCCTTGATATTGTTAATAATACGCTCTTCAAAATGTGCTTTACCTCTCCTGCATGCAAGTTTGTGCTCCCAGTTGTTCCCACTGGGGCAAAACTTCCATTTTCTAAAAGAAACTTTTCTCTAATAGCTTCCTTGACAGTGATCATTAACCATGTTGGTGAGTTCTTAGACTTGGTTCTACCATTTTGTGCCAGATCTTGTTGTGGTTTTTAGTAAATTCCAACATTTTGAAAGGATTTAACCAACTTGACTCCAGCTTTCATCTCCCTTTTTACCACTCCCCCAATTTTAAAGAAGTTTCCTTTTCTGAAATCAAATATTGTGTTGGACTTCCTTGGCAATTTGCCATTTAAATACATATCAAACCTGATGGCACTGTGCTCACTCTGAAACCAACCAAAAGATTCATAATCGTTCTTGGAAGGCAGCATCCTAGGGTTTAATCCAGGGTCACTTTCCCTCTGGTCACTTCCATGATCATGATCACTTCCAACTGTTCTAGGCTCAGTCATTTGGGGCACTTAGAAATTTAACCTCTTTTTCATGACTGGAACATGCATTTATGCAGTTAATTCAAGTCACCTATTATTACAACACTTCCTCATTTGGATTTCTGGTTTTGGTTTCTTTCTCAAGATTGCACTGAATGTTTAGATCCAAAGGATGACCACCTTTGTTTCATACTAAATAACTTTTGATATTGTCACCCATGTTGCTTCTGTGGAGAACCTCGAAACTACATTTCCACACATCATTGGTACCAACATAGGCCAGAGTAATTGACTTCCCCAGTACCATCTACAATGCTGTCTAGGGCAATGGGTGCCATTTATTATGCAGGTCGCATACCTATCCCAAACCCATCTCTCTAGGGCTCTAATGATTGAATCTCCCAAAATCGCAAACCCACCCTTACCCAGAGGCACATATTCTGTGAGAGAATATTTGTTCAGCATCTGAGAAATAGGCTCCTTCTCAGGAATAAGTTTCCTCTTCCTTAGAATACCCTGCTTCAGTTGTAGAAAGTAAAGCAGGTGTACTTTGGGCATGTCATGAGAAGGCAAGGCTCCCTAGAGAAGAAAATAATGCAAGGGGAAGTCAAAGGCAGAAGTAGAGGAAGACCTACAATGAGATGGATTGACTCCATAAAGGAAAACACAGTCTTGCGTTTACAAGGACTGAACAGACCCATTAAGGACAGGGCATTTTGGAGGAGGGTTGCTATCAGTTGGATGGCACACAATAGCAACATAAATACTAAGTATTAAGAAACTACAAACATTTCAGCATAGAAACAGTCCTCTTTGCATTGTCTGTGCAACTTTTACTAACAGAAACATTTTCTTGCATTATGCCAGATTTGCTGAGATTTTCTGCTCAATGTTGTTTGTCAGTGACTCTTCAGGGTTGATGCTTTATGCATTCGTGATGTGGCGAGTTTATTTCACATGTACCAAGAAAAGATACATAGATTTGAATAAACAAGCAAGTTGGACCCAAATGCAGTAAAACATTAAATTAGCCTAGCTGTGCCTGTGTATTTAGTGTGAAACATGACTAGAATGCTAAAAAGATGCTCAGACCAATAAAACCAGATGGTAATTATGTGATAGCATGATCTGTAACCACTGCTCAGCAGGTTGTGTGTCTTGAAGCAAAGCTTATCTGGAGTCTCTTTATCAAGGAAAGGAACATGCTCAGACTTTTTTTATCATTGCTTATCACTGCTGTTCCTCCAAATGAGCCAATGTTGCTGAAGCCAGAACTTCAAAACAACAGACCAAAATGTATTTATGGTTTTGGTATTTGATTTTTCCATTCAGATATTAGTTTTTAATAGTTACCATAACCATTACCAGGTTATTATTAGAACATTCATTCATTATCATCATTCATTCATTATAGCATTCATAATAATAAAAATGTTGCTGATCTACCTGTCAGCCCCATAGCTCCAAGACCATGAAACCTAGATACCTAAAAATTTGCAAGCATACATACCAAAGGGATTCTTAGGGCTGTGCACCTTGGAGTTGGTTTTAAAAATGCATTAATTAGTTGAAATGCGTTCATGAACTTGAAGCCTGCAGTGCCATCTCCAGTCATGAGATGGCAGCCTTCTCTAACCAATATATAGCTGTGCAATGGAGAACTAAATGCTAGAGGGAGTACACCAAGAGACCAAGTGATATGACTGTTCTTCCACCTGTTCTGAGGCAACTCACCTCAGGAGAATGGAATGAGAAGACCCCTTCCTCAGGGGCTACAGGGCACACCACAGCAGTGGATGTGCCTCGGGGCACCAACCTGCCTCTGTGGCTTTACTCAGGTGGGATGGGCACAATGCATCCAACGATTAAGTGCATTACAATTAATCTTAGTTTTACCATGGCAAAAAACCCTCTTCATATTAGCATTCATGTCAGCAGTAGAAAACAGGTTGGCCCGCTCCTGCCGAATCTGTTTGCTACTGGTCTGCTACACAAACAGTTCCCATTTTTACTCTCCAGTTTTCAAGCATGTATTAAAAATGATGCTGATAGTTTCTTTAGGGATCTCTGCCCATGCCCCAACTCTTGCAGAAGTGGGTGAGAATGATTGTTATGCCGACATAAGCAGCATAGATATGCCCTGCTCAAGTCTTTCCACCATTAGGGCCTGGGTAATTCTTCCGAATATTTATGCTGCATTCTTCCGCACTCTGCCACCATTAAGAACAGAATTTTCATAATAATCAGGACACAGAGATGGGTGTGCGTTTTTTTTAAAAAAGATGTTTATTAAAAGTGCTTTTAGTTTATGTTACAACTACTGTATTGAGTCCTTGTAATCCAGTGAACATGCACGTTAAGACAGTCACCTAAAAATAATTCAAGCAGCAGATTAGACACATGACCTGCAGTGCCCTATGGGGAAAAGGAAATAAAATGGGCCAGATCAACATCCCAAGGCAAGTGCTCCAGCTTCTATGCAGCTTGTTGGCATCACTGTAGAGGTAGAACAGCTGGTGGCTCCAAGAGAGATACTTTCATATACCTGCAAAGCAAAAAAGCCGATCATTACAAAGAGTTCATGATCTCCAAAAGGATATGGCCTCAACTGCCTTTAGGTTCATGAGTTCTTCAGATCTCTGGATGATATGACATGATCAGAACCTCTGTACTGGAATCAATGTTTAACCATCCACACTGATGAATAAAGCACAGTCTGCCATTCTCAAACTGCACTACGCCAAAGAAGAATTTGACTCCGTCTACAGAGTTCAGCATGTGACCGAACTTCCATTAAACACACACCCAAGTTTCTAGATCTTTTAGTGTTGTTTGTATTTCTGTATACCACTTGAAGAGGATATATAGAGAAAAACCACTAATATAGGTGCGCCTTTTAAAAAACTGCAAAGAATTATAATATTTATTCTTTTATTGATTATTACATTTCTATACTGCTCAACAGCCAAAGTTGTCTAGGCAGTTTACAACATTTAAAAATCTGAACAACACTGGGTGAAATCTCAGCAGACAAGTATATCATAACAGGAAGCCATCATGGGAGAATTGTGTTACCCCTAATTAATGTTATTATTCCCCATGACCACAGAGGGTATGGTTTAGAGAGCTATTCTGTAATCTCCAGACTGTGTCCAAAGGAGAACCACAGCATTTCAAGAGTAAGAATACACAAGGGAGTAAGAGAGTACACAATGGTTTCCTGGCCCTCCTACTCAGGAAATGTTTAGATCAACTCAAGGATGCATCTAAATGTTTCCTTCCCATTGCCAGCAATGGGCAGGAATGACCCTTCTTCCATCCACAAACAGAAGAAAAATATAAGACTCATCTCCATCCTGACTTCTGCTTTGCTGGCAAAATCACTGATACTGGAAAACAAAAGATTACTCCCTTAGCAAAGTAAGATTGTACACATCTGAATGTTTCATAGTTGTTATAGAAAGCATCTGTTCCTAGTACCAGGCTTCGACAGATACGTGTGCACCGTCAGAGATCCAAGGACTTACTTAGCTAGCTTATATTTCTCCCGTATTGCTTGCTGGGGTCGATGAGGAGCATCAAGGCATGCTTTGTGCAGGTCACTTAGACAAGGTACTATCTCACTTAGTGAGTATCCCGTGAAGGCAGCAAGAGTTTCTGGCTGACCAGGAGAAGAAAAAATGACATCCATTCAGAGACATAGAGCATGCTGAACATACCTACTAAGAAACTGCTGCATTGAACCAATTGTTAATTTAGCCTAGCATCTCAACTTCGGCTAGCAACAGTGTTGGCTCTAGTATTTGGAGAATGTAAGCTGAGCCTGCATTCTCACTCCCATGGCCACCAGCAATATCCCTCAACTTCTTTCTTCTTGTGGCTCCCACTTGCTTGCAGGGAAGGCAGAAAGCCAGTGAGCATGCGAGCAGGGGCATCTGCTGCTCCTCTTTCTCATCACCACAGCTGTCCGGCCCAGAGACAGAGAAACAAGCAGGTTGCGATGAGTAAGAGGAGGTGCAACCCTCTTGGGCTGTAGCCCTTGGCAGGTGCTGAACCAGGCCTATCCTTGATGCCAGACTTGCTTGCAGGTTTATTTCAACTACAGAGCAGGAAAACTGAGTTACTTGAAGAGGCAAACCGCTTTCCACAGTTTCTAAGAGACCAGCTGGATCAGCCAGCACAGCTCACCCTATGTAGCTCTCCCATCTCAGTTATGCTCGGACAACCCTGGTTTCCTGTCAGTTCACATGGCGAGTGGCTCCCCCACAGGGTCAAACTGTATGGTGTTGCCATGAGTACTTTGGGGAAGATAGACAGGTAGGTAGGTTGGTAGGTAGGTAGGAGCCAGGCTTTATCTGATAACAAGCTCAGCAAGGAAGATATTTACACATTCTTTGTGGAAAATGCTCGGAGAAAGTGCTCATGAAAAATGTTGTCTACAGCAGTGAAAAAAATAGATTTCAAATTGGAGCACCAAAAACCAAAAATACTTAAGGGGTTAACACCAACAGAATTGTTTCCAACTCAGCAAGCTCTCTTGTTGAAGTTAATAGTCTTGTTAGCTCTCCCGAGTTATAGTCTAGTGAGAAAAAAAAAAGTTTTGCCAGATATTTCTGCAGCATCAGCCATTTTTGAAATGTATTGCTGAAAAAGGAGATGCGGCCAAAGCAAGAGACACTGTGCCATCCTATACAGTTGCCTAATTTGAAATATTTATACCCAGGTTAACCCTTTAGTATTTTAAAGTCACACTTACCCAGAAATGCCTGTTCACAGTGTAGTTTGCTAGACAATAAGCAGCTGCTGCCATTTGTGAGGGAAGGTACTTCAAGAATGGGTCAGCGTCAAGGAGACTCAACTCTGCTACATACTGAAAAGAGAATGCACACCACTGTAATCCCAGGCAAGTCAGCTGAGATCATGCTTCAGCTTCTGCAGAGCACAGAGGTGCAGCCTCTCTCAACCCAATGGCCATTTCAGAACAGTTCTTGGGAGCTGCAATAAAGAGTTAAGTGTGTTTATGCCAATTATTCTGCTTGGCATACTGTGGGAATGTTTAAGATCCTGTTTTGCTGCAAATGGCTGTTGGTGTAGCAAAACCACTTTGGTCCATCCAGTTCCTGCACCACGCAGAGTAGAGGCATATTCTTTTAACTCTTCCCAATCCCATTGTGGTCTGTGGCACAGCCTTGGGGTTTTACTATCCATGACCACTTCAGTTTGGACTTCAAGGCCAGGATGTAGAACCTGTAGCCCTCAAAAGCTTTCTGCAAGCAAGCAATGATGTGTCCTCCTTTACCAAAGGAGGGAGTTGCCTCACCATACCTTCTGGTATTTCTATTTCTATTATTTCTGTTTCTATTTCTGAGTCACAACTGCCTTTAAGCATGCTCCTGACTTGTTTCTTGTCTTCAGATGGAGTCTCCTGCCCCCAGTGTATACTTTGATAGGAAAAAAATATTCACCATCTCTATTCTAGTGTCTACAGCAGGGGTGGACAACTTTGGGTAGCCCAAGGACTAAATTGCAGCCCCTGACCACTCTCCCACCGGGACCACACTCAAGCCACCAAATTTTGGCAGTGAAAGCAAGCAAACAGACAGAAAGGTGATTTGCTGATATAACTCAACAGCAAGCCAGTATGGAAATTCAGGAGAGCCATATTTAGCTTGACACCAAGTTACTTTCTGACGCTGCTGTCACATTTCTGCGATAAAGCGACTAGGGTGGCTGTAGCCACACTTGAGACCATGAGCCTCCTATCCCTGCTCTACAGAAATGCAGAGTTAGTCAGAGAGGTTTGACATGGTCACAAATGAGGCATGCCTGCACAGAAATTGTGCCAAGGCCCAGTTAAAGCATAGTTTGCTACATTCTTCAAGAAGTCTTGTTTCTGCACGGCAGACCAAATATCCTGTTCTACAGCAGATGCAGCTGTAGCCCCTTTTTATCCAGATGTCCTTTACCCTTGCAAAGTTCTCAGTCTTAAGACTGACACCATGTCTGTGTAAATACTGAAGGAGAAACTGGTTAATGGTTGGCACAGTCAAGTCAAAAGCAAGCACTTTGAGGAGCAGGTATTCCATTCGCAACAGTTGCTTCTTTGTGTAGGTATCATCTGTTATATAAACAAATTCTTCTACTTCTGGTGGATAGATTTCTTCATATTTCCTGAAATAGAAAGAGTTGTATGGAAAGCTTTGCTGCACATAAATCATGCTTTAATTCTGTTAAGGGATTCTTACCAGATGCCATTCTTCCAAGATTTTTCATCACCACAAACAGATCTTTCTGCTCACTAGCTAGCACTTATCAAGAATTTTGTTACTAGCTCAAAAAGCTTTCTCCAAACATGAAGTCAGCACTTCTGGAAGCCATAGTTCTCATCATCCCCACGCCATCATGGAGTTATTGACCAACACATCTGAAGGGGATCATGAGTAGCTAGCTGGGGAATTCTAAAGCTGGTGCCTCTAGGAAGCAATCCTATGGCCACTTAAGAGCATCTGAGGAGTCAAAGGATATTTCAGATTCCCAGAGCTATGGTCAAAGACAACAGTCAGACCTTGGAGCTGGGAACCAGACCTCCAACCACTCTGTCCTTCGTAGCCAGCATGGGAAGAACGATACCAACTGTTCTCTGAGGCCTGGAACTTCAAATCAGAAAGAGGTAAAAGGGGGGTTCTCGGTGGGCAGGCAGGGAAGGATCCAAGCTATCCTGAAGGTCCTCCAACCAGCACCTCCTCCTCCTCCTCCCCCCCCCCATTCAAAATACCCAGCTAGATGGCAAAAAAGCCTATACAGCAAAAATGCAAGGTGAGAGAACAGGGCTGCAAAGAACACCTTTGCTGTTCCTCCAGCTCTGCATAGGATGACTATAAGCTGCTGCATTTGGGGTCTTACAGGCCTCATGACAGGACTGTACCATTAAGGTACCTTTGCATTGTTAACCATAAAGTCATCACAACCTGGAAAGTGTAGATACCACGGAAGGCATTCAATTTGGTTTGGATTCTACTTTGTTCCTTCAGTATGTAGGAGAATTTGCCTCCGTTGGGTGAAATTTGCATGTAATGTATGATAGCATCTTCTGAGTGGATGAAACCAGGACAAGTCACGGGCTGGGTAACTGCTACAGTTTCAGTGATGTTAAAAAGGACATTTGCTTCTTACATTGATCTGTGAACTTTTTCATGCAATTTGCCATATACTGTAGGTTTCCTCCTAAAGAAGAGCCATTAAAAGTTCAAATGTACTGGTGCAGAAGGATTTGTACAAAAAAATCCCTACTTCGATGGGTGTGGCTTTTCCATCCCTCATGGTTTGGGGACAATTTGAGTGAAAATATCATTCAGCACCATGAGTAAATAACATGGAAAAATGGGAAAGGCGGGTGCAGGGACTAGGCAACTATGGTGACTGAAAGACAGCTTGAGACTTTGTTTTCTGCTCAACTGATGACAACCAATCTATTTTTCCTTTTATATCTCTCCCAAAAGCAGTGTGATTGGAAGTAAAAGGGCCAGTTACAATAAATGTATTGTCGAATTGGTAGCTAGTACTGTTGGTCGCAAAACTACATCCCTTACTGGTGATTTCCTTCTGAGGAGAGCAGGGTGGGGAGAGCTAATGATCTTTGACAAATGGCAATTCCTCCAACTTCCCAAAGATTCAGGAAGAGGCCAGTTTTGTTTGGATAGCTTCACAAGTCTTCTGCTTTGCTATGGATGAGTCCTGAATCCTTCTGAAGCAGCCAGAGTTGGTCCAGAATTTGTCTACAGGAAATGCACACCACAGCAGAGATACTCTCAGAATTTCAAGAATTTTACAGGGATCCTGCACAGCAGCCATTATGTGACACTAGCCATGTTCTCCATGGCAGCCATTTTGTGGTGATGCCCAGAGCACTTCCTCAAATTCCAAAATGCAGCTCTGAGTCCTGCCCTAAAATAAGTCTGTACAAACGCATGAAGCATTCACTTGCAAGTATGAAACCTACAGTGATTTAATCAGTGGTAGAATATTGTTGGGATGCATTTGTTCTAATAAGAAAAGGAAACAAGGAAGGAAACCCTCCATGATGCATGCTATCCAGCCCTCCTAACAAGGCAATCAGTATTTGGGGAAATGATAGTGTGCTCTCCAACTTTGCTGGGGCGGTGCTGTAGTTCAGTGGCATAAGCTGTATTTTATCTTCCATGTGTTTTGGACTACAGTTCCCAGCATTCCTGAGCCTTGACCATGCTGGCTGGGGCTGATAAGGGCTGAAAGCCAGATGCCTGTAAGGGATCAGTCTGAAGCAAGCTGATGGAGACAACACTGAACTAGGTGGCCCAATGCTCTAAGGTTCTGTTAAAGACAGCCCTTTGCTGGAAAGGAACATTTGCGGTAGATACTTTCAGTATTATTACTACATTGCATTTATGTCCCACAATTTTTACATTTGCAAGAAACCCAAAGCTTACATAGCACCCTTCACTTCATTTTATCCACACAAGAACAACCCTGTTAGGCTAACAGTGAATGATTGGCCCAAAGTCACAAGGGAGCATTATGGCTGAGTGGGGCTAGAACCCAGATCTCCCTGGTGCCCAGTCCAGCACTGGAACCATTGCAGTGAGCCAGAGCAGCTGACATCTACCAGACTGAGGTGCATTAATCCACACAACCAAGCATACTTACGCAGCCAGGAGGATTGCTGCTGTTCCCACAAGTTGCAGCTTCCCTCTGAGGACTGACATGCAAGAGAGAAACCGGTCCAAGTAGTTGACAGCAATGTACAGTGTCTCCGTCTGCAGGCTGTATTCTTCACCAACTTCTGTCAGCCAGTCCACTAAGACTGCACGCATACCTGAGGTGATATCAGGCTGCTTCCTCATGTAGCATGGCTTGGGCCTGTATCTTACCTACATGGAAAAAGTTCAGTCTAAGAATAAGAGTGGGGACCACCCACCGAACTCCCTTATGGGATCTCTGAACACTGCAAACCAGAGGTGGGCAACGTAGACTTGGATCTGAACCCAGGACTGAGGATCCCTATGTCTGGTGTATAAGTAAGACATGAAAGACAACATTATTAATGTTGATCAGATTCTGCCAGGCAAGTCACTTGTGAATGACTTCAGATATCCAGGGAATGGATGATAGATAAAGCTCAACCTAGAATCTCCGGAATGAGGGTGCCACTGGGCAAAGGTGACTCACTCCTCCAGTTCTCAACCCTACCCATTAAGGGGATGCCTTAGAGCTATGTGTCTGGGAAAAGTGGTAGATGTGGGGGCAGAGAGCCACGTGTGGGTGAATGGAAAGCAGGAAGCATCCTGGGTATCCAAACCCAGTTAAGTGCTTCTCCTGAAGCTTTTCAGTGCTTGGAGATGTGTGCAGCAGTCTTCTACTCAAGCGAAGGCTTTGCAAGCAGTACTGCATTTGATGCTGGCCAGTGCGCTTCAGACAGAAAAACTGGGAAGCAGTCACAGACTCAAGGAAAACTAAAGTCTGGCAAAGAACACATAAGGAAATATGGAAGACTGTGCTGGGTCATATGAAAAGAATACTGAAGAGGCTTATTGAGAAGTTTCCCAGTTCAAGAAGGGCTGCTCTCAAAGAGGTAAGCCAAACATTCAGTTGAGCATCACCTAACCTGGTCAGTATATGGGCTCCAAGTACAGATGGAGAAAAGTTAGTTACACTGATATAAAAAGGTGAAACAAACCAAGTGCAGGAGCAGGGAAACTCTAGCATTCTGGGTGGAATAATGGAAGCTGGGAGTTGGAACCAACCCAAACTAGCACCCACTGGAGATAAATTAGGCAAAGCTAAAAAAACATTATTCCACACTTGTCACATTGAGAGCTTTGATCACAACATTAAGTTTACTGAAATGGGAACCACACTATAATGAAGTTATAGGAGAAGGATCACGCAAGGTGAAGTTAAACAAAGATCTGAGTAGAGTTGAGTTAATATAGTGTACATGTTACATAGCATCTACCCAAAGGTCAATATTACAGGGAGCTTGTCAAAGTGCTACTCACTTCAGCCTCTCTCAAGTAGCAATGAATATCTTCTGCATATTCTACAAGACTTGTGACATCTATTGTATTATCCTGAAGATCTTCATCTTGTGACTGCAATGACTTATCCACCAACATTGGAGATCCTGCCAAGAAAGAATATCCAGGAAGAATTGTTTTTATTTCAGTTGGCAATTTCTTTTAGTGTACTTTCCCCCGTTAGGAGGCATTAACTCTCACATTTCTACAAAGTTGTTTGTTTTAACAATGGGCACCACACACAAGAAATGAAAGCTTTGTCCATGTTAAGACTATATGACAAGTTACCTGTACTTAAGTTCAGCAGCAAGTGAAGACTGGGATTTAGTGGGCTGGTGGCAACTTCCAACATACTGGGTTCCAACTCTTCCACAGATGAACAGATATACCCATTCCTTTCTTTCATTTCATCTATGTAAATAGCAAAGCTTTGCTTGGATGCCATGCCACATGGCAGCATACTCTTGCTCGTAGCAGGACAGACATTTTCAGATCCAGACTGGTGCCTTGCTAGAGATGTACCCTAAAAATAAAGTCATCTCATTGGGAAGAACAGACTACAGTTAAAATATAAGGGGAACTAGAATGATCTACCTTTACACCACTCCTTCCCAGCCTTGGGTTCTCCGTCACTGGACTGCACTTCCCCTCCCTTTGCACCATTGTCCATGCCCCATGGTTGGGGGCTGCTTAGATGAGAATGCATGATGTTGGTGCTGGTTCCACATTTTTGAGGGACATTGGGAAGACTCCATCAATGGCCTCCCTCCTTCACTACATCTGCTTCTCCCTCCCACTGTCACCAGCTATTGAGTCAATCCATCTCCTACTTGGTCTTCCCTTTCATCCCCTGCTTTCAACTTTTCCTAGCACGATTGTCTTCTCCATTGAGTCTGGCCTTATCATGATGTGGCTGAAATATGTCATTTTTGCTTCAAGGGAAAGCTTTGGATTGAACTAGGACCCTCTTGTCTGCCTTTCTGCTGGTCCAGGGTATTGCCATTATAATGAACAAAGTAAGTGCACCACTGATTCTCCAGTGCACCTGTTCGGTGTCTCAGATCGAGCACCCGCAGATACCAAATTAAGACTCTTACTGCATTTCAGCGCAGCTCTACTGAACATGCAAAAATACAAGAGAAGGTAGACATAAGATACAATTGGGTAGGTTTGCACACATACTCTGTGATTGTTCCATCAGTTAATATATAATAGCAGAGAAGTTTTAATTCTGGCACTGAAGTGGGTTCTTCTGTGGTCTTCAATCTTTTGAGAGTCTGTGGACACATTTGGCAATCTGAACAACAGTCCTGACAGCCACCATGAAATGGCTCCTGTAGGGCCTATCTAGTCATAAAGAACAAGTCACTTGCCCAAGAGTACAAAGCGGAGATTGCCAGACCACAAAGCACAATAGAATAACAACAACAATATAATATATAGTATTTTAATGTGCTGTTACTGGTTTGTAAGCCATCTTGAGATCCGTTTCAAGTAAAGATGGGGTAGAAAGGTTTTTAATTAATTAATTAATTAATTAAGTAATTAATTAATTAATTAATTAATTAGCTGGCTACACTGCGAATCATGCAACCAGCCCCAGTTGCCCTCCCTAGAAACATTCTTGGGAAAGGAAAAAGGAAAACTGCTTCCAGAAATTACCAATTCAGAGGTTATACTTTGGGCACATCATGAAAATGCAAGTATCACTGGAGAGAACAATATTTCTAGGGAACACTGAAAGCCTAAAAAGAGGAAGACCTCTACATAGAGCCAGAAACATAAGATTTTATCTGGAATAGCAGTCATGCTACTCCTTAGTCTTTAAGAACCCTTACAGAGTTGTTCACCTTAAAGCAGCCTTCCCCAATCTGGTACATTTTGGATGTTTTAGACTTCATTTAAGTCCCATAATCAAGAATGCTGGAAGCTGAAGTCCAAAACATCTGGATGGTACCATGTGGAGGAATGGCTTTTTAAAGAATGTACAGATATATTGGGGCAGAAGCCTACAGAAAGTAAGGTCCATCTCACATGTATTTTCTTCAGCTGTGGGCAGAGGTTACACAACACACACACACACACACTCTAAGCATAGCACGCCATCCATTTGCTAAGATTCAATGGAGGTTAATGCCAAATCCCAAACATTTCAAAACAGAGAGTATGGGTCAAGGGAAGGGTTAAGAATCCAGATCAATGCTAGATTTAGAAACATTAAGGACAGTGAACCATAAGGAGCTGTTTAGTTGTACAACACATCCTCTGTTCCTGCTATCACAGCAGTATTGAAAGGCAATGCTGAAGTCTCAAGTTCTACTGCAACAGCAAAGAGAGTCTCTCTTGACATCCAGTTAGTTTATTCCTGAGAAACTGTAGCTAGAAGATGGAACCTTTCACCATTGGCAGTTAAAGAGCATGTGCATTTCCATTGGACCTAGATTCCATGGCATGAGAAAACCTTACAACAGTTTCCTAATACTCTGAGTGCTATTGAACCCAAAGATCTTATCAGTAGGAGTGAAAGATGAATCGGTATTTCATAGTGCTGACCTGTTCACCATACTCCATAGCCCTTGGTAGCCAATGGTCATGCTAACTGGGGCAGCAGTGGAACCGTAGGCCAACTGGAGTCCACCAACCGGGTCTATGGGCCAGTACACTCAACAAGTTCATTTTCAAGCTGTGTAGTTGATTAATATTTCCATAATAATTCCCACTCTGAACCTTAGGCTATAGTCACTGGGAAGCTAAAGCATGTATAACACCATCATCACTAGAATAAACTACACACCTCAAACTTATGCACTCTTGATAAGTGTTCTTGAAAATGGTGGGGCAGGGACACCAATATAAATTACATGTAGCTTTCAAGAGGTTAGTTAAGTAGAATAGTGTTTTGGGGTATTAGTTATTAAGTGCCTAACATTTCCATTAGAGTAAGTTATAGATGCCTCAAAAAAGGTAGTCTAAACAAACCAGAAGTCAATTTATTGATTAAAAAGAAAATACACATGGGGTAGAGAGGAGAACCTCTTATTTAATCAAACATTTATATTTCTAATGAGAACTAGAATCCGGGTGGGGAGTGTCAAGATTTTAAAAGGCACAATCTTTTGTAAATTTAAACAAGAAAAAAGGCCTAGGGCATCCTGGGAGTTGTAAGTCTTTTTCTATCTAAATTTGCATAGGATTACACCTGAAATAGTACTAATTTAAATCACCAGTAGCAGTTCAAAGCAACCACTAACAAACAGCTAATCTGTTTTATTATTCTATATAATAGCATATTATTTCTGAAATATTTGAATATTTGGGAGCTAGAGTACTGTTTAGAGTATTGGACTGGGGACCAGGGAGATTCAGGTTCTAGCCCCCACTCATAGTGAGCTATGAAGCTCACTTTGGGCCAGTCACAGGCTCTCAACCACACAGGGTTGTTGTTGCGAGTGCAAATGTAAGCTACATTGGTTTCCTTTCAGGAGGAAAAAGGTAGGATATAAATGTAATGTAATGATAATAATAAACATTTATTTAGCACTACAAGAGGTCTGGGCAATTTAAAAATGTTCATGTCCATTTCCTTTTTCCCCACTGTGATGTTCTTTGTTTAGAGCACAAATCAGTTTCAGTCTTTTAAGTTCTCACTGACCAGAAATGGAATTGCAAAGACTCAGTATGATTTTTTGAAGAGCTGTTTCTAGACAGTAAATTTTATTGGTCTAATCTCACTAAAGCATTTTGATCAGTAGCATTAAATCCACCCATTTAACATACAGAGTGTTCTACATAGGGATGGGCAAAAAGTATTTCTTCAAATGTTTGGTACCCTGACTTTGGCACCCTTCTGGCAGGATGTTCTGGAAGTTGAAATCCCAAACATCTGAAATTCTATCTTATACCAACAATACTCCTTTGCAGTCAACATGACACTAGACAGTTGCCCCGTACTAGTTATTAGTATCACTTTTCTGAGGATTGTTAACAGCAGCTAACACTACTGAATGTCTTCATTGAGGTCAAACCTTATTTGCCCCAGCAGTAGTCTTCCAACATTTCAAACTTCACAAGTCCCCCTACCCAAGATGCTAAGTCTCTTGGACTTAGAAACTCAGTCCCTGTTCTCCATGGACCCGCTGGTGGTTGCTCATTCCCCTGGTCCCACTCATCCCAGCTTTGGCCAGTTCTCTTCCCACTGTAAGAAGCTGAAATGCCCCTCCTAAGGAGCTAAGAGCTTTAAACTAAAACAGCCTGGTACTTTTGGCTTTCTTAGTTCATCTACCACTGGAGTGCAACCCTCTCTCCTGTACTTCTCCGAAACAGAATTTGACCCCTGAGCTGGGAGAGGTTCCACAGCCTGTACTAAGAGTTTCACTGGGGAAAAGACAGTTCATTCTTCCTTAATCTGGTCAGCTCAAGCCCTGTCAGCCACATGTCAATTACTCCAGAAGTCTCCTATGATTTACCCGGACAGAGGATCTCGGACACTGCCCATTTTCAGTCAGCTCCCCAAGCACAGCCCTCTGGAGAGGATTTTGATTGGCCCGAGGCTCAGCAACAACTGTATGGGATTCCCAGAGCCCAGCCTTCTCATTATCCTTGTTGCTGCGGTGCATTTCTTCAGGGTCAGCAGCAGACACTGGAAAAAGAATGTAAAGACAGCACACATTATTTTCCATGATTATTTCCCATATTCTCGTCCTTTCAAGCATAACCTATCTTGGCTGGTGCTTCTGACATGAAAAATGAAAATCTTCCTGCAAGCTGCAGTTTGTATCGTCAAGGCTGCTGCCTGTTATCCTAGCTATCTTGCTAGTGCAACCTTGCCCAACTTGGTGCCCTTGATCTACAGGCTGATGGGAACATTAATCCAATCCAAGGCAGCTCATCTTTTATCAATGTTCTTTAAGACAAACAGAAGAACATAAGAAACTGTCCCAGTGAGTTCCAACTTAGCACATAAATCAACTGTGTGTTGTTAGCAGCCCATGCCAAAAACTCACGGTGAAGAGCATGATGATGATGATTTCCTGAAAATATTAGAACTGGACTACCATAGTACCCTATCCAACAAGAAAACTAGCCACAATAATGAACGTCTGTGAAAAGGATGTCATTGCATTGCACACACCACTGAAAACAAGGGTGGGCTGCTTCTGGTCTTCCAGATGTTTTGGCTTTATGTAATCCTTCACTGTTGGTTAGACTGGCTAAGGATGATGGAAGTGGTAAACCAAAACATCTGGAATGCCACAGATCTGGCTTAAAGCAGCACTGTTCCCTTTCTCTCCCAATGGGATCTGGATGCCCAATGCACCAATATGGCAGCAGGCTGATCAAGGCTGTCCCCAGTGAGCCATGCGGGTAAGCTGGCACATGCAGAAATCTGTGTTTGAAATCAATGGGATTAGATAAATTGAAGTGGCCCACGGCTGCAAACTCTACCTGGAACTAAGTCCAGTTCATGCCCAGGGGATCACCGGGTGTTTTGCAGCTTGCCTGCTTTGACATTTCTTCTTGTTTTCTGTCTTTTCGGCTCTTTCAAACTTTTAAAACATTTTTCTGATTTTCTGAGTTTTATTATACCTTTATCATCTTTTTTATGGACTGTGTAACCCATCTAGACAGCTTTGGCTGTGGGATGGCATAAAAATGAAATAAATAATTTCTGTGCCAACATGCCAAGGATCAGGATACAACACTTGGGCCAGAAATATGGTGTCCTCAACTCAGCAAACTGTATTGTCCAATAGGGCATCCAGGTTTGTGATTCCAGGCTCGTGCAAGCTTGTTCTGGGATAGGATGAATTTATTCAGAGGTGTTTCAGAACATGGGCTGTACCCCCTCTTAGACCTATTATTTCTATTATTAGATTGCAAAATATGACCTCCCAAGAGGTCATATTTTGACCTCTTGGGAGGAACCCAAGGCAGCTTACACAGTTCCCCTCCACCCCAGTCTTATCCTCACAACGGCCCTGGGAAATAGTCATCCAGTGCGCGTCATGGCTGAGTAGGCACTAGACCCGGGTCACCCAGCGCGTCACCACCGGAGAGGCACTGAATTAATGGACCTTGGCTCATCCAAGGCTCAAGGAGCCCTCGAATCATGACTAACTCGGGTCATAGCTCGAGTATAACTCTAAGCAGGGCCAACGGGGCATCGATCCCCACGTTTCGCTTGAAACGCAAGAGCCTCTTGCAGTCTGACGGCGCCGGCGCACAAGCAGAGACTATCCCCCGCCGAGTTTGCCCAGCGCAAACGACGCCGCAGGAACAAGCGTCCGGGGGCACTCAGCCCTGGCGCAGGCAAGGCAGCGGGCGCCCCTCGGGGGAGCCACCCGGAGGGTCGCCGGGCGCTGCGGCTGGCTTGCACCAGCGGTTTCCAAAGGCAAGCCCCCGCCCGCCTTCCCAAGCAGCCTGCCGAGGCAGAGAGAGGCGCGCATTCCCCGCTGCACCAAACCCAACGTCCGCGCCGGCGGCAGCGCCCTTTCCCCACCTGCATCGAAGGGTGCCTGGGCAGCCGAGGGTTCCTTCCTTCCTGCCCCTCGTCCCCCACTACACGGCGCCACCTCCCAGCAGAGCAGAGCAGGCAGGGGCCAAGCAAGGACTCGACGCGCCCACCGGCCGCCGGCCCCAGCCTATATACGCGGCAGCCAATCCGCGCCCGCCGCTGCCGCCTCCCGCTTCTCCTCTCCTCCGCGGCGTGCGCTCTAATTACTTTCAAGCCGCCCGCGACTGTTAAGACCGACCAGTTGGAGCTTGCGGCTGCCCGCCCGGCCGCCTATCGCATGCGGCAGGCTGCGCCCGTGGCAACCGGAGATCTCCATGGAGATTGGCTGCGGCGGCTGGTGGCCACAGAGATCCGTCTCTCCCCCCACGCCACCGCCTGCCTCTTGCAGCGCCCCGGGGGACAGCTCGGACCCCACCGAACAGCAAGGCGGAGGCGCATTTCCTCTTGTGGCCTTGCTGTTAGCATTAGCACCTCTTCTTCTTGCAAGTTTCCCAAGGCGGTTTACAAGATTCTCCTCTCTTCCATTTCACTCTTACAACAACCCTGTGAGGTAGGTCAGGCTGAGAGCCTGTTGCTGGCCCTAAGCCCCCCAGCCAGCTTCATGGCTGACTAGAAACTAGAGGCCGGATCTGAACGCGTCCAGCACTAACCACTGCACCGCACTAGCTCTAGACTTGGAGCCACACGCTTCCAAGGGATTTTTGTGAGATCTTTTGGATTTTTCACCTTGGCAGGCCAGGAAGGCAGCACGACTGTTCCCATCATCACCTGTCCCCATCAACCCTACAGCCCCTGCGCTCCTGAGCCTTGGAGACGCGCTTGCCTGCGACTTGTTGGCCCACAAAACTTCAGTGACTGTCTGCGACCCGGAGAATAGCCAAGGAATAAAATCGAAGGCCCTCCGAAGAGGAAATTCCTGCATTAAAAGTAGCTACAACTTCCTTTTCATTTGCAGGAGAAGGTCTTTTTTCTTGTCTAAACATGCATAGAATCACACCCTAAACATGGGATTTTTGTGTCTGCTGGCTGGGGGATTGGTCTGTTTTGGGAACGTAACACTTTAAATAAGTTCAGATTTCTGTGAATTTAGGCTTCTCTAGTGGACCAATGCTTTTCAGGGTCATACAGACTCCTTGGACTTGTGGGCCATTTTTTCTTTGCTGTGTGTGTGCGTGGGGGCGGTGGATTGTGGAAGTTCACTTTTGTTCACTCACATGTGAGTGTGAAATGCACTTCACATACATCTCTTACAGATCAAATTCTGTACAAAGTCTAACACAGCTTGCTAGGAGGAGGAAAAAGTATGTAGAATTGGTAGGCAGCTTAGAACCCCATCGAGTCCCCTGCACCACGCAGACTTTTAGGGTAGGATGCACTGAGAGACAGTCATCCAGCCTCTATTGAAATACTGCCAGCGATGGAGAGCCCATCATCTCCAAAGAGGGACTCTTGCAGCTAGCACAATGTTTAGCTAAAATCTGCTTCCCTGCAACTTCTTCCCCTTGACTTTCCTCCTGCCTTCTGGAGCAACAGAGAACAAGCCTGCTCCATCTTCATTATGACCTTTCAGATACTTGTTTGTCTTTCTCTCCCAAAGCTGCTCTTTGCCTTGGATAGGAAACTGCTGTTGTGTCAAGCTATCACTTTAAGGCAGCAATGGGGAATCCCAGCCCATGGACGTAACCCATCCCATAGAAGTCTTTCATTCAACTCACAAAGGCCATGAATCTTATTTAGTGATTGTGGTCTGATCACTCCTACCTCACAGGGTAGGTAGGAGGGAAAAATAAACCAGGGAAAACTCAGATTCTATTTTGAGCATCTTGAATGAAGAGCAAGATACAATGTAATTACTTAAAGAAACGATTCCAAATACGCATTTGTCTAAATAGGCTCTGACACATGGAATTTGAGAGCCAGTGTGGTGTAGTGGTTAAGACCATGGGACTGGGACTCAGAGGATCTGGGTTCTAGTCCCCGCTCAGGCATGGAGCCAACTGGGTAACTTTGGGCCAGTCACAGACTCTCAGCCCAACCTACCTCACAGGGTTGCTGTTGTGGGGATAAGATGGAGGAGGAGAGATGATGTAAGCTGCCTTGAGCCCTTTGTAGAAAAAAGGCAGGATATAAATCACAATATAAATATAAATATAAATATAAATAAATAAATAGGTAAATTTTAAGTAATATCAGCATGTCAGGTTGCAATCCTTTACACAGTTAAGGTGGGAATAAATCCCATTAAAATCAATGATGTTTATTATTACTGTGCATTTATATCCTGCCTTTTTCCTTTTGTGAGGAATGCAAAGAGGCCTACATAGCTCCATCTTATCCTAACAACATCCCTGTGATGTAGGTTGCACCCAGATACCTCCATGGCCAAGAGGGTATTAGAACCCAGACCTCCCAAGTTCCCAGTTCAACACTCTAACCACCATGCCACACTGGCTCTCAAAATAATAGAATGTTGTCTTCAAATAACCCACTCCTGCACATGGGTAAAATGATCCTCCCAAGCACAACAGGGGTGGCAATCAGCTGGGCAGAACTGCCCCATTCGGGGTAGCACTTTGCAGCTGATTAGCCTGGCTCCTGCCCCAAAGAATTTCTGTGGAGCAGGAGACAGGAAGAATTGAGATGCCTCTGCTTGTTGTGACAAACTGGGGTAGCTGTTCGCCATGTTGTCTGGCTAGCTACTTGGCAATTGCTTGGGTTTCATCCATGATGGGTTGTGTTGTCTTAAGTTCAGATAACACAACAAGCAATTGTAGAAGGAGAAACACTAAAACAGGCCACTGTGTCCTACCATGGTTGATTTGGATAGCATAATGAGGAACTGCTTGTTGTGTTATGTGAAAGCAACCCTCATGTATTCACTGAGCGTTTGGAGGTTAGCAGAGCGACCCTCTGCATGTCTACCCAGAAGAAAGCAGGAGGAGGCCACATTCTGCACACTTCAAAAGCTCCTTTAACTTCCTGTTGTACTACATTCAAATATGTTCAACAAAAGAATTGAGAGCTCACTTAAATCTCTTTCTTCGGCATCAGTGAGCCTTGAGAGTGGTGCAGTTTTGCGGGCCCATTCTATAGTGAGAAAAATATAGATTTATCTGACATTCTGTAATTACTTGGGCCATACGGCACACACCACTTGCTGGTACTCTAGCATAGGTCCTTTAACATATTTCTGCCTGTCTTCTGATACAGCTGTAGAAATTAAGGCACACTGCGCTTTTTGTACATGTAGGTCCTGTTTTGTACATGTTAGTCCTGTTTGATATCAGTTATACAGATCTCAGAGGTGATATTTGCATATCACCTTTGCCAAATCAGATGTGTTGGACCAGAATGCCTATCATTCTCATCTAGCAAATGGTATTGGAAGCTGGGGTTGATGGGAATTATAGTCTAACACATCTGGAGAGCACCGCATTGAGGAAGGCTTATATAAAGTATTTTGGAGACCACATCCAAATCTGGACAAAAAAGTGACATTGTCCCCTACACATTGCTGTAAGCTTCATGGCATGTGCTGAATAATCCAGGTAGCCAAAGCCTTAAGTTAACGTTTGAAGGAACTGACTTCTGACTGTCCTTTAAAGAGACTGTATTTTTCTTTACATGCCAATAAGACTAAGCATTTAGCATCTTCAGCGTAAAGTGAATTGTTTGGCATTACAGACAAGCATGGACTTCTCATCTGTATGTATTAGGTCAAGTGTAACATGAAATATCACCTGTGTGAATGTATTTGTTTAATTCAGTGTAAAGTTTAATATTAGCTCTGTTGGGCATTTGACAATTTACTTCATTTAATTATGTGAATTAGCTCTGTTTTCTGGAGCTTTGGGAGCTAACTCTTGCAGTAGCAGCCCTTGCTGCTGTAATTTTTATTTCTGATGTCATTTTGATGCTCTTACACATTTTAAATGTCTTCTGATGATTTATTCTAATAATATTGTTTCTGCTGGCTGCTTTGAAAGACTTTTTGAGGACTAAAATGTCAGATACAAACTGAATAAAAAGTGATTTCATCATCATAATTCAATTTAATATTTCCCTATCTGCTGAAATCATTGATTCTTTTAGCCATTTCCTTTTGC